CGGCCAAACCGCCCTTCGAGGGCCATGCCCAGCTCAGACCCAGGCCCTGGCACCCCCGGCATGGTGCTGACAGGGACCCTATGGGGGGTGATGGGGGGGACTGCTGCCTCTGGCTGGTCGTGTCGGAGTCTTTGCAGCTGGTCCGAGGGCGAAGGCAAGGGCAGTGGGCCTGCCCCGCCCCTGCGGGCCTCCCAGCCCGCCACCAGCCAGCTGGAGCTGCGGCCCAAATAGAAACCTATTCTGGGCTCCTCCGTGGATGGGACAGAGGGGGAGGGTGTCCTGCCTAGGCAGGCGGACCGCCAAGCCAGGCGCTGGTCCTGCAGAGATCACAGACCTGCAGCATTGCAAGGTTGCACGGGTTCTTGATGGATCTCCAAGACCAGGGCCCCATGCCTCACAGGTGGGGAAACTGAGGCAGGGAGCTGGGAGGGGCCAGTCCAAAGGCCCATCTACACTAGTCATGAAATCAGCTAGGGCCAGCACTTCTTTAGTCTTGCCGTGCCATTTTAGAAAGCCTTGAACAGATAGGGTAAATGGAGGCATGGGAGGTGAGCCTTGGAGCAATCTGCTGTTGCTAAGTGTCTTAGTCCTAAGATCCGTGTGCTCTAGCCTCCCACAGGGTTCAGATCCAACCAGATTTTGAGCAGATGCACTATAGACGTAGCATCTGCCCCCCGCCCCCGCCTCGGTTCCAGCTGGGGAAACTGAGGTGAGTTGGTAGTGTCAGATCCAGGTCTCACTGTGACATCTCTGCCACCCCAAGGCCCTTAGCTGTTCCCACTCCCCGACCCCTGCTCCACTTGCTAATCTCTTGGCAGAGAGTAGCTGGGCCCTGCTTTTTTGGAGGAAACAGTGCTTTCTTGCCTCTGCTCTCTCCTTGGCACCCCGAAGTTGGCTCCAGCCACCTCACCTCAGTCAAAGTCCCATTCCATCCCTGGTTCTGCAGAGGGCATTACCTGGGCCGCCGGGTAGCCCGATGGGGATGCCTTCCCCGACTGAGCTCCGAGCCAACCGATCCCAGGCTTGGGAATGAATAATGGAAGGGTGGCGCGTATTCAGTTCCTGTGGCACCTGCTCAGCTGCTGCCTCACCTGACTTGCGTGCGGCCCCCCACCCCCTCACCTATCTGTCCCCCCCCATCAGGGCAATGGCTGCCCCCACAGGGAGGCTGACGCAGATGCTAATCGCTAATCTCCAATCTCCTAATGGGCCAGGCTGATCTTGGATGAGCAGATGAGCCGTTCTCCATCTCGGAGCTGACGTCCAGCGTGGGGAAGGAGCAGGGGCACTAGGGCTGCCCCAGGATGAGTGGGGCAAGCCCCTTCCACCCTCTCTGAGCCTCAGTTTTTCCCCTGTTCAGCAGAAAAGAACCAGCCAATTTAGGAATGACTGAGGATCAGAGACCAGCAATGTGGGAAGCTCATGGCTAGTACGAAATGACCTTCTGATACGCCCATTGGCTGATACCCTCGGGTCTGGCCTTGGCTCTGCCACCAGCTGGCTGTGGACTGTGGCTGACCACCTTTCCTCTCTGGGCCTCGGTTTCTCTTAGGCAGTCTACTTCGTGAGGCTGGGGGGGGGGGGGGGGGGCACCTTAATGCTGCAGCCTCGTCGGCTACCAGGGGAGGCATGGCTGAAGCTGGTGACGTGAGTGACACTGCCCAGCCGGGCCAGGGTCCCAGGGCTGCTGACGTGGCTG